TTTTCTTGCCTTGACAGATTCGTATGATGATGAAGACAATGAATAGATGTCGAGCATTGACATAAAGGACACACTTCGCAGATTAATTAGGGGAGTATTTCTTAATCCTTCTCTTTTCTCTATTCCTTGTTCTTTATTGTGTGACATTGAGGATAATGTCATTTTAAGTTTGGGGGTAGGGAAAAATTTGAAATTTTTCTTTTTGTTTAATTTGGTGTGTTTATTTTTCCTTTTCTTGTGTGAGTGATTTGGTTTGAAGTATTGTTGTTCAAGTGTGTGGTTTGTTGTGTGTTTTGGTGTGGTTATTTTACTCATGTTTGTGTGTTTAATGCTTTTTGGTTGTGTTTGTTTTTAGTTTTTGTGCGTTGTTGAAAATAATGCCTAGATGATTCATATAAGTCCATGATAAGCATTTGATTGTTGGGAATTTTATTTTTGGGAAAGCATGAGGTATTTCTTTAAGTTGAAGTAGGGTTGACTTTGTTTTAGCTAAAAGTTTCTTGAGTAGTTCAACCATGATTTTCATTGTTTTAACATGCTTAGAGGCCTTTTATGTGAATGTTGTGAAGTCTTGATGATGTTGATGAATTCTAGAACCTAGTTGAGAATTGCTTAAGACGAAATCCTAGATTAGACATTGTTGAGGAAATGATTTAGGCATTTTTTTTTTTTTTTTTTTTTTGGAACATTTGAGTCTTTCTAGCCAACCCTGTTTTGAATAGTCTTTAGTCACCCTTTGAGCCTTTTAATATGATTGCCTTATTTTTCTTGTATAACCAACAATGTCCAACCCCTTTAGCCTAAACACTTTATCATACCTTTTATAGAACTCCGTTCCACATGCATATCATAAAAAGCAACAAAAGTGTATGAATAAGTGATTGATCAATCACAAGTTTGGGGGTTGTGAAGAGACAGCAAAAGGCAAGTGACCCCAAGTGATTTTGCAATGTATGCATATAAAAATTTCTTTAAAAAAAAAATAGAAAAAAGAAAAGAAAAAAGAGAATTTCAATTTAGAATAAAAAATAAGAAATGAAAAAGTTTTGGGGGTTGTTAAAGGTGTGCGTGCCATTGTTTGAAGGTTGAGCAATAAAGGAGGATCATGACTTGAAGTAGCTCTTTGTGGTTGTATGAGGAAAATTGAGTTCTCTTACTTTGTTTTTCCTATCTTTTCTTTGGAGCCTGTTACCAAAGCCTAACATTACAAGCTTACGAAGACCTTTTGATCGTTAGCAATGTCCAGTCTGTTGGAGTAGCTGCCATAGAGCCAATCAATTATTGTAGAATTGACTATTTGTAATAATGTTTATTAATCAACAAAAGGCGTTTTTTACTATATCATGTAAATCATAATTGTATGTATTCATATATGTCCTTAGGATGGTAGAACCGTGACGAGGATATCAAGTGTTTCAAATTTTGATAGTGAGAACCCTATGATCACATATGGTGGCCACTCTAGAAATGTCCGTAGCTCCAGTATTATTTTGATAAAGGACACAGATAATACGGTAAGACTCTCATAGTGTTGAATGATCTTGTCAAAAGGTAGTGATTGATCTCACTTGTTAAGGTTGTTTGTCGACAACTTGGTGCAACAGATGGGTGCTTGCTGTAGGCAAGTTCACTGGACTGACCCACCAGAGGATTCCATATAGATGGTAACCCCAGTGTCTATGGAATAAATCCTCTAACGAATGGTGGTGCATGTGATCCTTAGACTTGAGATCATCGGAGCACTTTGTGTACCGATTGGTGTAGTTTGACACTAGCCTAATGTAGTTTTATTTAGAGTTATCAATACGGTAGTGACTAGCTATATCAAGGAGTGTATCAAGACTATGGTGGATCGATAGAGGATTCATCACTCATGGCTATAGGAGAAGTTATCTCAAGACGCAACTCAGTGTATGGCAATGACTTCTCATCTTCTTCCCTAAACAAATCAAGCTTTAATTGCTTTACTACCCCACTTCCTCCTTCTTCCTCCATATCAGCTTGCTTCACTTCCCCACTTCCTCCTTATTCCTCTGTATCAGCTTGCTTCACTTCCCCATTTCCCCCTTATTCCTTTGTATCAGTCGGTTTAGCTTACCCACTTCCTCTAGCTTCCTCATTTTCTTTCGCAACTCTTCTCTTCTTTTCATACCTTAATTGCATGAAAAGAGATGTCACATGCTTGCTTTTTCAGGTCTTTCTTTTCTTAGGTTGAACTTCCTCCATTTCCAACAGCACATCAAACTTCTCCTCCACCCTTTGCACCCTCTCTTCCAATTTATCTACATTCTCATAAATAGTGCTACTCAACATGTCAAACTTATTGCGTAGACCGTTTATGAGGTCAACCAACTTAGATTTAGGATGCGTAGGCAAACTGGTACTCAGTGGCAAACCAATACTTGGTGTACCGGTTTGCCAATTAGAAGGAGGCATACGAACAGGAGCCTCCATGTCTTCCTCCTCATCCATCCCGCCTACTTGGCCTTCGGCCTCAATCACATGCTCAACAAACGACCCTTCCACTGCAATCAAATGCTTGACTCCTTGTAAGTGCCGCATTAGGCAATCTATCTTCTCATCAAAAACATCGTCCAACAGTTTGAACGATGTAACATAATCCATCATCGATTTAGCCCTAGTAGGAGTGATGAACGGATGGACCACTCCCTGCAAAAAGAAAAAAATATCAATCAAATTTACAAAAACCATTTAATATATTATATATTCAAAACACAAATCCTTTAATCTTACCCGAACCAGTTCAATTTCCATTTCAATTTTCTTATAGTCCCAATGGACGCTCTTCTCGGTGTGCCACTGCAACATCCTAGGAAACTGTGGTGCCTCATTCGAACTCTCCATCCGCCCCCTCACAGTAGTCGGGATAGGGACGACCTCATATATCCAAGCCTACATTGTAAAAAAATAGTCCATATCAGAATTAAAACACATATAATACAAAAAAAATTAACTAAAACCTATTAATATTTACCTGCATTTCCCAAGTGAAGCCAAGCAAATTGTATGTGTTGGGTTTCCGCTTCTCGGCATATTAGCGGTATTTAATCGCCATGTCTTTTCTTGTAGGGAATCGATGGTTAACTTAAATGATAACCTTCCCCACAGATAAGAATAAAAGAAGTTCTCATTACTTGCATATTGCACCCAATCTTGGTTTACAGCTTTCGTTGAGTTGGAAGCCATCAAGACTGAATGCACGAACCATACCAAGCACATTCGGAACTTCTCTGAAGAGCTATACTGATTTCCTTCCGCTTCTAACCTTTCCTCTAAATCATGACCCGTAATTGGCTGTTGTCCTACGAACACCTTTCTAACAAATGTTTCGGCAGCCTTGCTATTCTTCACCCTTTCTTCAACTTCTACGTCTAGAAATGGCCCTCAATTTAGGCCCTTCATTAAGTATAATTCCATCATCCCAAACCGAATCAACTTTCCATGAACCAAAAACCACATTTCATTCTTCTTTTTGCATTTAACAGCGTGCACCAAAAGATAATGTGCACCCTGCCCCCAGAAGGCCTTACTCCAATTATCTCCTAACCCTACAAAATGAACAAAACATGAGTTTCTGAATCGCTTCATCCCTTTCTGACGCCCACCTAAAATGTCCTTAATTTTCTTAAACACTTACTAACTAGACCTAACAGTAACCCTTGCCAGGAAGTATGGCACAACATCATTTACAACCTTAAGCCCATAATCCTTATAATTTATGCTCTTATAACACTGCACAATCGATATACACTACATATTAGCACAACAAAAAACCAAAACAAGCAACATGTTGGAGTGCATTACGGGAGTGGCTGTTTTTGGCTTCTAGAGGTCTTTGAAAACAAGGGAGGCTGCTGTGGCAGGTTAAGTACTCTGGACTTCATAGAAGAGAGCTGCATAGGGGGGGCTCGGGGCTTTCCTATAATATTATAGGGCTAGCTGCGCGTGGACAGCCCTGCAATATGCAAGGCAGCCCCCCCTATTCCACTCTCTTTGCCAACAAAAGCCATCCAAACTACGACAAACAACCTCCCCAGAGCTGCATAGGGGGGGCTCAAGGCTTTCCTGCATATTACAGGGCTAGCTGCGCATGGACAGCCCTGCAATATGCAGTGTAGCCCCCCCTATTCCACTCTCTTTGCCAACAAAAGCCATCCAAACTGTGACAAACAACCTCCCTAGGGCTTTCATTGGCTTCCCCAACCCTCTGGAAGCCCAACACACCCACTTCTTCAATTCCCTTCAATTGTTCGACAAAATGCAACAATGAACCTAACAACACACCAACCAAATATCCCCTAAAACAACCAATAATTTCATAAAATATATAGTTATTACCTTTACTTCATCTTCTTCCTCCTTCTCACTTGATGTTATGCCAGCATCCTCCTCTTCATTTTCAATTTTGGCTCCTGCCTTCCCTTGTTCACCTGGCGGGCTGTCTTTTACCGGCACTATATCGTCTCCTACTGGGCCAACTCCAGTCATCAGAATTTGCTCCACCGCAACCTCTGATTCTCCAATTTTCGAACCACTCGCATCCATGATTTGAAGAAGGGCTGGCTCTTTGTCAAAATCTTTGTTTAGGTCAGCCATTGTTTCTTTTTAAGTAAGAAGGAATGTCTTCAATACAAACAACAAACGATTGCGATAGTGGGTGGTGGAAAACGGCAAGGAAAACGCGGTGAAGGGTGGCTGTTTCGTCGGGGTTCTCTTAGGGTTGATTAAGCGATTGAGTTTGGTTAATCGATTTTGATTGGAGAAGGGGGCTCCTTTGCAATTTTTACAATTTAAACACACTTTTGTTAATTATAATATTATCTATATATGTTTAAATCCTTTTAGTTTAATCCGTTTTACATGTTTATTGAATCCTTAGCGTGCCACGTTAGTTTTTTTAACTTTAAAAAAATTGCAAAATTTGTTGAGGGTTATTTTTTTAAATGCAAATTTGGGATGTTCGGGAGTTAAATTTCCTCTTACTGTGGAGACCTAAAAAATATATGTAAGCTTAAACCCAAATTTCCACTGGAATTACCAAACTTATCATGGCATTCTCTATCTCCTTAACATCAACTTCTTCAACAAATTTGTGTTCTACCCATTTCCATAAACATCCTTTTCTTTCATTTCCAGTCTCCATTTCTCTCTCTGTCCCCAACCAAAACCTTACCACGCTTTGCCTCGCCGCCAAGTCTCAAACGGGGCCTGTCAAGAAACGTTCGCCCAATAAGAAGAGGAAGAAGGACGGAAATGAAAATTCTGTAGATAAATTGAGCTCGAGTGATGTTGAAGTTCTGGATGATAACGATTATGAAAATGAATCTTTGGGGCCTCTGCCGAAACCGCCTGCTGGGTTTATTGTGGATGAAACTGGAAGGGTTCTCGTGGCTTCTAGCAAGAGAATTGCTACTATTGTGAGTTCTTATTTTGGTGATGATTAATTTAGGAAATTATGCTTATATATTTATATTTTTGCTTAGTTTTAAGTTCAAAAGATTCGTAAGTCTAGGTGATTTTGTTTAGATGTTGACTTTCGGTTAAAGGGAAGTTCAATTATTCTCATAAAATTAACAAATGACATTGCAAGCTTGTTCTTTTTAGCATTCAGGATTCTAGGGGTATTAGCAAGAATCAAAGTTGTGTGATCATATATTGCTAATCATTTGGGGGATTGTGTTTAAATTTTTAAGTCATTGCGATGCCTGCTGTTTCTTTGCCAATTACAAAAGATATGCCTGGCTAGAGCAGAATGGAGAAAGAAGTTCATTTAGGCAACTGATGCTGTTTTGAAATTCAGGAAGTTTTGGCCTTGTGGGGGCTACCGCTTTCATGAATATATATATATAGTGTTGGTTGCTTTAAGTGGTTTGCGTTGAATAATTGTTAACTTAACTTTTTTTGGGCAAAATATTGTCAAGTATTTAAGATTAACAGTTTGGAAATTTAAGGACCTACATATAGATATATATTTATATATATATTGATACACTAATTTTTTTAAGTGTTAGTTGCTTTAAGAGGTTTGCGTTGAATAATTGTTGACTTAACTTTTTTTTGGCAAAATATTGTCTAAGTATTTAAGATTAACAGTTTGGAAATTTAATGACCTATTAATTGCTGGGCTTTATCAGTTCCTGCACTTAATATTCTGTAGATATCAAACTTAATTATTTTAATACAACATAAGTGCTTCTTTTCCAACCATGAGTGCTCACAACTGAATTTTGGCATTTCTTGGCGTTTATGTTTCACTTTCCAAAAGCATCAAATGATTATTGTAATAGAGCTCAGATTTTCTTTAGAGGTCAGAGACTTGCTTCTTGTCAACCATGAGTACTAGCAATCCAATTGTGGCGGTCATGTTAACCATTTTCAGTATATTAAAGGTTCTTTTTAAGGATGCTATGTTAATTCTCTGCTGCCACTTTTATTAATTAGAATGGCGTAGATACATGATTTAAGGTCTGAAGTTGTACATTTGAGATATACTTATTTTTGATGTGGGTTTTATGAAGTTGGGAAGGCTTTGCTTTTACTGATTTAAGTTGATTATTAATGTTACTGGTTCATAATTTTAAATTTTTTATTTCAGAAGTTCCATAATTCATAATTAGGAAAACTTATAATAAACAAGGCCCTTTTTTTTTTTAAGGACTGCATTTGCTGGCCCATACTTATCATCCATCTGGGATGGTGGAATTTGAGTTCAGTTTATTTAATTACAGTTAGTCGCAAAAAAAATATTTCTGTGCCCACAACTGTATTAAGAATAAAGTTTCTGACTAATTTTCTTTTTATTTCATTTTTCTTTTTAATCTTTGTTTTTTCTACAATGAGGAAAGGGTTAAACCTGTGCTGGTTATAACTATAGTGATTGCACTAATGATATTTTTTTGCTGTTTATATTCATGAATGATAATTCTGGTGGGGTCATGAGCAGGTCGATTCTAGCAATAATAATCCTTTGGATTGTGTCATAAGAAGAGTGTTTACAAGCTCGCAAGGAGATGAATGCATGTTGCTCTGTCCGGTTGACACGTAAGTAGTCTTCTTTGTTATAAGTTCAAAACAATACTTAAAGTCATTTAACTTATATCATGCAAATCTAATTAATAAAATACTACTGTAGGCCTGTTCAGATATTAAAGAGCACAAATATTGAAGGGTGGTCAGCTGTATGTTTCCTCTCCTTTATACATTTTTTTTGTTTGACCTTCAATATACCAAATTAATCTAGGAACTTAGCATGATTTGGTGGAGGTTGGATGGTAAACATATGAAGGAATGGCTATATAGTGAACAGTTAAAGGGAGAATTCAATTTTTTTTTTTTTATAACTGCTATTTCTTTCGTTCCTGCTCTATTTTCCCACTTTTGCTTTTATCCATTGGATTTCTGTTATTATGATAACAAAATATACATTTTCTGTGAGCTTCACAGTCCACAATCTATAATATCTTTGCTTTTGCATTTTAGGTCAGTGATGAAGAAGTTGAAAATATTCTTCCTACAGCTGCCTATGCTCTTGCCAAGATACACATGCATCTAGTACATAGCGGGTATGGTGGATTTTGAATTTCGAACTTATTTTAATTGTTTATAAATTCATCTAGTCTTGTTTCTCCTAAATGTCTTTAGATCATTTAGTTATATGTTTTTGTCAATCTATCAGATTCTGTTATACAGCAAGAGGAGGATTTTGCTACTCAGATGATGACATATTTGATTTCCGCACAGGCAATTTTCTTAAATATCTTATGCTTCTTGAACCATTTATCCAGTTTTGATTCTATTTATTCTGGTCATATAAGTTTGTCAATCTCTTTGAATTTCTTACATTTAAAATATAACAAGAATCTTGGCATTTAGCAATCCTCTTCCTCTGCATTCCCCGAAGTAAATGAAAACTTTCTATACAGCTTTGCATGATCGTTTTCTATGTGAAAGATTGTAATAAAGCCTTGCATACGCGGTCATGTTTTTTGGATTCAGATCAACTTTATGATCTGAGTGTCATGAGACATGAATAATGGTCATAGGGTATGATGTTTAATCTATTTTTGCAGTAAAATGATTTATTCGCTTTGTCATAGTTTTTCCAACAAGCATACGTCTTCAGCTAGAGGAATTGCCAGTTTAGCTCTTTTGAAAGAAAATGACATTTGTCCTTTCATGGTCTTGTTTATTGTTGTATGCCCTTCAGTTGACTGGACTTGTAGTATGTATCCATGCATTTAATGTTTATGTTTGACATACCTGCTTTTAACATTTTATGCTGCCTATGTACCTTAAAATTCAATTTCTTTTGCGTTAATGAACTATTAGTTGCCTTCTAGCTTGTGATATGTAATATTAAGACCCAGGGGAGCAATTTATCGTAACAAGGCAGTCAACACTTTTTACTAGCTTCAGCTTTTGAATTGTTGTATTATTTTCATTTTGGTGAAATGTCTGTCTTGCCAACAATTAACTTGCCCGGTTCTTATAGTTTCTGGTATAAATGATCAGTTGAAGACATATTGTGGTCTCTGGTTGCTGCATCTTTAATATTATACCGTTTTTGATCTTATGAAAATCGATCCAACAACTGCCAAAATTTAAGTTCTTTTGGGAATGAGATATATGTTAATGTTTCAGTGTTACAATTTTGCAGATGATGGACAGGATGTAGATGGCTTGCCGACAGAGGGGGTTGAAATTACATGTTTTCATTTGGTATGTGATCCCATCAATTGTGTCTTATATCTTCATTTTTTGTGGGAGTTGAAGAACTAATATTGTGAAGACGAATTCATGCACTGATAGAACCTAAATGGAGATGGTCAATTATCTCATATTTCTTAGGAAAATTTAAAAAACAGGACTTTGTATTAAAACAAATCAAGGGATTTCTGGATTTTGAGGTTAACTTTTAACCAAGTGTTCAGGATTGACAGAATAGATCCCTGGTTGCAAATTCTACTATAAGTGGATGTATCTTATGAAAATCATGGGTGATGAAGACCTTTTATTTTCTTCTGTCTTTTCCTGTTCACTGTTTACCGTATCTTCTAGGGCTCCTTATGTTAACAAAAAATCAGTCCACACTATTGTATTATCCATTTCTGTTATGATTTTTCTTGTCTTTTAACATGTTAGCAAAACCCTAATAATAAAATTCTCACATTTTCTGATGAATGCGCTTTCTCCGTAAACCTTGATAATGCTTCATTCTATTGTGCTCACTATCTTTGTCAGTAAAATTTTGTACAATGTTAAACGTTGAATGCGCTCTCTCCATTTAGAGTCATAAGTTTTTTTTTTTCTATCTATAATTTAAAAATTTTCTGTAGGACTGAATTATCAATGTATTAGAAAGTTCTGGCAACCTACTAAAGAAGATTATATGTCTGTGGTTAAAGTATATGTTCTTACATGTGATCTATAATTATAACCTCAAGTTAGACTTTATTCCATTTACTTCTTTCATCTTGAATTCTCCTTATGCAGGATGGTGCTCATTATATGATTTATACTCCATCCGATCCACTTCTATTTGTTGCTGTCAAGGTAGCCTATCAAATTGCTTAAGTTGCTTTGTGTGCGTTACTTTAATATTCATAATAACCAATTGCATTTCCAACTTTTTATTTCATTACAAATGTTCTGGTGAAAAGTCTTTCTACCATCCAACAGTTCTTGATGTCAATGATTATTGAATTTAAAAAGTAGATTCGGTGATTGATGATAATTGGAAACTGAAACTTAAAAGTAAAGTTGGAGTTCATTTGTGCAGGATGGCAGTGGGCTATTGCAAATTGCTGATGATGTAAGCAATCTTGTTCATTTCATGATATATGTGAATTTTTACCTATTGTTTTTGCTTCCCTATTTTTCTGTATATCCTTGCATGAAGAGTTTCATTTTATTAGTGATGAGTTGCATATAGATTTTAGCAGTGCCTTAATGTACTTTATCATGATATCAAAAGGTTAACATATTCAGTTATTTGTTGTGTAGTTTGTGGTTGATGGAGTAATTATTGATCTTTATTTTTAATATGAGTATTTTTTGTCGAAAACTTGTGATTGGTCGTAAAAATAAATGATTGATTCTCTTGTTAAGTTTGAGTTTTTCTTTAATCAAATGGTTAATGTATTTAATGAAGCTTCTCAAGCTCCTGAACGGAACTCCTTACAGAAGATCTAGTCTTTTGTGGGGTTCAGTTATAGTCAAAGCTAAAGGAAGTTCATGATGATGCAAAAGATGCATTTAGATGGGGAATCCCTGTGCACTCTAGATTTGTCATCTGTAATAGTTTACTTTTAGGGTGCTATAGTGAGTGTGTATGTAACATCCCATACCCACTTCCCTCAGCGGGGCTCGGATTTGCCTCTTATCTGCTGAAGAGATAAATCAACAATATCTTAACAATGAGTTGGTCCAGCCGGAGTGTTACAGTGAACACTTGTGTGCATAGCTATATTCCAATTCTTTGAATTTTCTGCTTCCTGTTATCCCAGGTTTTACCTGAAGTGCAAAAGATTAGTGTAGTTGATTTAGTGATAAATCGAATGCTAAAGATTCTGATTTTGGTCTGATTGAATTTTGTTGAAACAGGATCTGTTGGAGGATCCAGCAGTGATAAGGGCCATAGATGAGGAGACCGAATTTAATGCCTTGGTGGTAATTAACTAATCTTTGCTCATAACACAATTTCATTAATCGTTGAACTGAGCTAAACTCTTGGTTAACTGCGTTGTTATGTTGTTTATATAGGAGGAAGAGGCTGCACTTCTTGAATCCTTGTTAGGTAAAGAAAGATGACCACATTTCAAGCATCACTTGAGTTCCAGTGAGCCATCTGCCCATTGAAAAGTATTTCCGTAGAGAAAAACAATAATAATAATAAAATGTTTCCTTTTCAGTGTACATAAGAAGCTTTGTTTGCATTTTAAATTTGTTGAGAAATGCATTAGTGTTAGTAAACAAAAATACTTACTTTACTGAAATATATTTATTTATTTGTTGAATATTTAAAGATAAAATAGACTTTTAGAGATAGAGAAATGTTTTATCCTTGCCTGTAAATATAAAATTAAGAAATTTTATTATATATCTAATAAAAAAATTAACAATTTTTTCATAAAAACTCTTGAAATCCTTATTGAATCTAGGACATTTTGATAAAGAAAGTTTATAGAGAAATCATAGAAGGGTAACCAAAATTGGATGACATTATTAAAAGATTTAATGAAAATTAAGAATATTGATTGTATTATAAAATAAACTAATAGAAGAGAGAAGATAATTGAGGGAAAATGGAACCAATGCTTTTCTATTCCAAAGTTGAGTGTACATCATCTTTCACAATACATCTATTTATAGTCTTAAGATTATGAAATATTATAATTGAAATTAAAAGCTAATAAAATGTTTTGAAGTTGTAGAACTTGAAAGGTTCAAGAGTTAGAGAAGATGAAAGATTGAAGTTATAGAATTGAAAAGGGACATCCTCATTTATTCATAACACTCCCCTTGGGATGTCCATTACACAAAGAATATGTCTCATTAAAACCTTATTAGGAAAAAACCCAATAAACCTAGTGAAGGAAAAAGAGTACATTATCCTTGTGTATTATACGCATTTAGAAACTGTCTCATTAAAACCATTACCAGGAAAACCTAGTGGGATAAAACCTTAGTCAAGGGAGAAAGAGTATAGTGCGTATTTACTCCTCCTCATGATCACTTAAGATTTTTGTATTGATGCATTCCAATATTGTATACCAGCTTTTCAAATGTTGCAGTCGATAAAGCTTTAGTGAATAAGTTTGCCAAATTATCACATGATCGAAACTGTTTAACTTCAATATCGCCATTCTTTTGAAGATCATGAGTGAAGAATAATTTTGGTGATATATGTTTCGTCCTATCACCTTTGATATGACTTCCCTTTAACTGAGCTATGCATGCAGTATTATCTTCATATAATGTTATAGGAACTTCTTTTTTGTGATCAATGCCACATGATTCTTGAATATGTTGGGTTATTGATATAAGCCAAACACATTCTCAGCTTGCTTCATGGATAGCTATTATCTCGGCATGGTTTGAAGAAGTAGCTGCTATAATTTGTTTTGTAGAACGCCAAGAAATAGTTGTACCTCCATACGCAAACAAATAACTTGTTTGAGATCTAGCTTTATGTGGGTCAAATAAATATCATGCATCTGCATAACCAATTAATTGAGGTGTAGATTCATATGAATAAAATAAACCCATATATATTGTGTTAGTGTATGCCCTAGAAACCAATCGTGTTATCGGTTTCAGAGCATTATATCTTGTAAATACTCTTTTGAGAATGGAAGAAAGAGTTATGATTTCACATGTTGTTTACTGCTTCATTTATACTATTTATAATGCATGTGAAATGTCCGGATGATATAGATCTTTAGAATATCATATCATCGAAGCATTCCCTACATAAGTAATGTTAATTGGACAATAACATTGCATAGTAGGTATGCTGAACGCCTCCATTGAATATCATGTGATGGTATTAGTGAGGGTGATTATAAGAGGTATATCACTAGGCAATTAGCATGGATAAAAGGTTGGTGAACTGTTTATCGAATATGACCAATTACAATGAATCACATGGACATTTAGAATGTGGTCAATGATACATCGCATGATCGTACTAGTGTACCACTAATCCTTAGACTTGAGACATTACAGCTGGACTCGACATATGATGCATATGATTCATATGGTGTATATACACGAGACTAGTCATGTTTTGTGTAAGAAGCTGGTTTGGTCATATGTTAATCATGTGCGAGGACAAGTGATTGTCAATATGGGATCCATTGACTCGAAATAGTTTGGTCCCGAGTTCCCAAATGAATGTCAATAAACATTGGAAAAATGAAATCTCTGGCCAGAGTACAAAATAGTCATATGAAAAGGAGTTTCATGATGACACGTTCTATTGTATTGATTGACAATTCGGATAAAGATTAAGTTAAGGGTTTTGACATACCATGAACCTATACTTAATCGGGATTAGACGACGGAGAGATTTTACTACATAGAACGTACGATCGGGAAAAAAAGGTTCATTGGAGTTTAACTTCATTGTGGCTTAGGGGTTATGGAGCATTGCTAGATGTCTACCATGATCGGTGGGAGTTTCGATCATAAAGAGTTATGACGAAACATATCAAATTGTGATATTGGGCCCACAGTTAGGTTATAGTGAACCTAAGTGGTCACACCTAAAAACCAAGTATGAGAAGAGCGAGTAATACATATTGTTAAAGGTTAACGATATTCAGATGTAAATGTGTGCATCCGAATTTATGTATTGGTGATAAATGATTACTCATGGGAAGCTAGCACTTACCAAGGGTAATAAGGTAATTTGGTCATTATTGGATTAGATTCAATGACGGACTAAAATGTATTATTGAATTGGATTCAATAATGGGTTAAATATTAAACGGGATTATTTTATATGCCTTGATTATAAATTTGTTTAAATCAAGGATTTAATATTAAAGAGTTAATATTAAATTGAAATTGTTTCAAGGACTTAGGATCAATAATGATTTAATATTAAAGAGTTAATATTAAATTGAAATTATTTCAAGGACTTGAAAATAATATTGAATTTGTATTAAGCGTTAATATAGGATTCATATTAATTCAAGGACTTGAGAACAATTTCAAAAATGGTCCTTGTGTATAAATAAGTGATATTCCCAAATTTAATCTAATTTTTCATTTGAATTGAAAATCTCTCTCCTGAACTTTTATGGCCAGCTCTCTTTTCTTCACCTAGTGGTGGATTTTATTTTGAGGATTTTCATCAAATTTGTTGAAGATCTTGAACTCATTTTCAAGTTACAAAAGTTGTAAAGCATAAAAGATAACAATTTCACCCTTTTAGTTTCAATAACATGTCATAGGACCTTATACCATGTTTTACACCAATTTTACCTTTTCTAAGCATAAATTCTTACAAATGGTATCAGAGCCATATTATATCTATGCTTATATGTTCAGTTTTGTAACACCCACACGGAGGTATGTAATTTAATTTATGTTTTTATAGCCCTTAGTTGATTTTGGTTAAAGTTATTTTGAGAGAATGTGAGGAAAATGCCTTAAACTTGTATTAAGGGTAAAATGGTCTTTTCACTCAAAATTAGTTGAAATTGTGGGGAGTGAAAGGAGATAGAATTTCATGGAGAATACAATAAAAATGAGGGCATTATGGTAATTGACTAAGGGACAAAGATGGAATTTTTATGAAAGTGTAAGGGCAAAATGGGAAAGTATGTTTGTAAAATAAGATATTAAGGGTTTAGTCTTACAAATCCCCTTATTTCTCTTCTTCCACCGCCACTTTCCTTCTCCATTTTCTCTCAACTTTTCACTCAATTTTTCAAGGATTTTTGAGGGCTTTTGAGTGGATTTTGATAAGGTTTTGGTTCTAGGCAACAAGAGGTAAGAATTCTTGTTCTATATATAAGATTTACTTGTGTAGAAGTTTAATTCTTATTAAGTTTATGCTTAGGGTTAAGGGGAAATTTGAGTCCAACAAGAGTAGAGAGCTTTAGTGGAGACTACTCAAGTATAAGATAAGTAAATCCAACTCAAAATCCAACTCAAGTTAAAGTTTAAGAAATCAATTGAGTAGAGATTTCTTTAAGCATGTATATGTTATGATTGTTGGGAAATTGAGATGAGATTGGTGATTATTTATGCTTGTTGTTGGATATATTTGAGTATGAGAAGTGTTTTTGACTGTATGATGATAGATTGAAGTTTGGTTGAAATTGGAAGAGTTTAAGAAAGTTTTGGGAGTGTTTTGCCGTGATAGGGATTGTGATGATACAAGAGAGTTTTACTCTCATTTTGGATGGTTTAAGAAACAAATAGAATTATAGTTAAAGTAGAGTTTGTATATGCACATTTATTGTTTGATGAAATGCCTAAGAGAAGCATGAGTATGAGTAGAAACCTTAATTTTATGCAACATTGCATATTTGCATTTCATAAGTGCATTTAAGTAAGAATTCTAAGCATGAGCCATCCAATGCATATATTTGTATATATGTAGTACTTAAGGAAGAATAAAGAATTTTAAGAATAAAACACTCTAAGAATAAAGATAAAGAAGGAAAAAGCACTAAATAATTAAAGAAAGAAAAAGTGTTAAAGAAGAGAAAAGAATAGGTTGTTGTGATGGGAAACTGTGAGTGCTAAGAAGAAATTCCCACATACACGCCACCTTAATTGAGTGGCATAAGAAGAAGAAGAAGAATTGTACGACCCGTAAGAGTGTATGTGGATGAGGGTTGTACTAAGAAGGATTCCTACATGCACGCCACCTTAATTGAGTGGCCTAAGAAGAAAGAAAGAATTTGTACGGTCTGCAAGAGTGCATGTAGATGAGGACTGTACTCACTCACAAGGCCAAGGTTCTGAATCCATGCATCAACCGAGTCCGATCGGCAAAGAATAAGAAAAGAAAGGATAAAAATAAGAAAAGAAAGAATAAGAATAAGAAAAGAAGGAATAAGAAAGAACAAGAACAAGAAAGAAAAGAGAAGCTTGAGCAAGCAAGACAAGAAAATAAAAGAAAAGAAAAGAAATAGAGTAAGAAATAGAAAGAAGAAAGAAAAATGCATTTTTATGCATTATTGCATATGCATATCATTCATGTATATACCATGAATTCCATCATGGTTAGAAAGAATAGAAAAAATAGAAAGAAAGAACAGAGAGAAGGAAAGAACAGCGAGAATTAGAAAGAAAGAAAGAACAGTAAGAATTATAAACAGAGAAAGAAAACATAAAGAACTAGGAACGAAAGAAAGAAGAAGAGAATTAAGTAAGGAAAGAACCAAAGAAGGAGAAGAGATAAGAGATTTACTTACTGAGCATTTTTGTGCTCACCCCGTTGTTTTTTTCCATGTTTTGCAGGAAATAGGTGAGCAGCGGTCGAAAGGAAGTCGACAAGCGGAGAGAATTGGC